CCTCTGTACTCATCCCTTCCCAAGCGCCTCCTGGCCCAGCCTCCCTTCCTCCCCCCTCCCGTCCATGGTTCCTGCCGCTCCGTCTGTCTGTCTGCTGCTCGCTTTGTCTCCATCACGGTGTCTGTTTCTCACTGTGCCTCTCAGTTTCTCCCCAGCCTCACCCGGAAGGCCAGCTTGTCACTGTCACAGCGCAGTGACTGAGAACTTGCCCGGGGAGTGAGGAGGCAGAGGTGTAACGGGTCTTTCTGCTGAGCCTTTCGCGCAGCCCAGGGAGTGGTTGGAGACTCCTCAAAACCCAAGCCCCCAGCTGTCAGCAAGCGTTTCTGGGCGCCTCTGCCCCTTGACCGCCGGGTCTGCGCGGGACTGCTCTGCCTGCTTACCCGTGAGGGCAGAGCTCCCCCAGCCTGGGGAAGTCACACCTTCAGCACGCTTCTAGGTGCCATGGGGTCTTCCTTGACAGCTGGGGGTGACAGAACTCACATTTACAAGTTTATGCAAATACACACTGGAGGTCTTTATGGGTCACACACTCTGCTAGGTCCTGGGCGCATGACCTGCCTCATTTGGCCCTCCCAGCCACCCTGCCAGAGAGGCTGGGCAGTGACCGCACTCTCATTACACAGAGGCGGCAAATGAGACTCAAGGAGCAGGCTTGCTCAAGGCAGCCCCAGGCTGGCAGCTGGACACTCAGCTCCGATCCCCTGAAATTCGCGCCCTCAGTGGACCAACCTCCAATCAGCCCCCAGGAGCGCTGCCAAGGACCATAGGTAGCTGTGCTCACCACAGAGCCCTCCCATCCCACCCCATGTCCCCGCCCCAGACCGTGTGCTTATTCCCGACACAATTGTATTTGCAGTTGTTTGTGAGAGGGGTCCGAGCCCACCACCACCCAGCGTTCTCTCTGCACACATTTGTTCCTTTCCCTCAAGTCACAAAGGCCAGTCATTCCCACTAATCTTCCCCCTAATTATGGCAATACCATCTGATTGCATAGGCTGATTACACAATTACAGTTTTGCATGCTAATCCCATAATTAAGACAAGCAATAATAACATGGGAAAAATGATGACATTTCCAAGCTCCAAATATGATTCGAGGGCCTGGGAAGGTGCCCCCACTGTCCCCTTGGGGAGGGCAATGGGAGCTCCAGGCACAGAGGAGGGGTTGGGTGGTGACCTTATTCAGTTTTCCAGGACACCCCTAATTCTGAAGCTTTTGTCCTCATGGCCCATTGGGACATAAGGATTCTCTAACCCAGGGAGCCTGATTTGGAAAAGTGTAACCCAGCTGCTGTGGCACTCAAAGCCCCTGTCTCAGGGGAACCTGTCTGCAAGCGGCCAATGGCCCTAGGGAGACAGACGGAACCTGAGTTGTGCTTCTAGAAGCCTAGGCCTGACCCGTCATCCCCAGTGGCTGCCAGTGTCCTGAGCAGAGAAGTGTGAGTACGGGAGGCTGGTTCTCTGCTTCCCCCACGCCCGGAGCTCTGGCTCCTGGCCCTTCCGCAGAGGTCCCATAGCGTGGGANGTGAGTACGAGAGGCTGGTTCTCTGCTTCCCCCACGCCGGGAGCTCTGGCTCCTGGCCCTTCCTCAGAGGTCCCATAGCGTGGGAGAGACTGCAGGCCACTCTCCATCTCTCCTTCTCTTTGGCTCCTTCAGATTACTCAAAGCCCCTTCTTCCAGGAAGCCTTCCTGGATTAGCTCTGGGCATCTCCCATGGTATGTCCCCAATCCTGTCCCTCCCACGGTTTGTCCATCACAAGGTCCCCCCCAGAGGCTGGGAGTTCCCAGATGGCAGCAGGAAACCTCCTTCGCCCTCTGCTCCCTCCGCCAGCACGGCGTTGCCGGGTCCTACACACTGTGTGCACATTTGCAAAGTCTATCTTTCTTCAAACGCACCGAGGGAATTAGTTGGCTATTTAAAGAATACTATAGAAGATCCTTTGGTAAAGACTGGGATCACTTTGATTTATTTTTAATGTAATTTTGGATTTTCACCTCTAGGGGTGGAGGGGGGTGAGGGAAAGGCTGTGGGCAGGTTTCTATTTTTCCACAGCCAGCATCCTCCTTCGTGGCTCGGTGAGTCTAAATTTTAATCTCCATTCAACAGACACGCTTTTGAGGCCTCCTGTGCGCCAGGCCCTGTGCTGGAGGCAGGGATATGAGGACGGACGGATGAGACTCTCTCCCTGCCTCCTCGAGCCAGTGAGGGGGACAGACGCGTGCTGGGTGCGTCCACACAGGGATGTTCAAGGGGACTTACGGTTGTACAGAGGGAGGTGGGGTTACAGCTGGGTCCTTCCTGCCGCAGCCAAAGGGGGTTCCTCAATCAAAGTGAGGCCCAGTCTCTGCCCCGAGTTAACACCATCCGCTTCAATCCTCTTTGCCTTTCGGGTCAAAACCAGCTCCTCAAGTCTGGCCCCCGCAGGCATCCTGGCCTGGCCCTGCCTCCCTCAGCCTTCGCTCCAGCCAGGGGGTGAGAGTGGATGGAAGATTTGGTCTATAAGTTCCGAGCCACAGGGAGCGGCCTGTGCATTTTGGATTTTGCAGATGGTTGGGGAAAGAACAGAAATAAGAAGAGGGCTCTTTTGGTAGGGGAGAGAGAAGCAGGGAGGTGGGGAGGGGCGGCTGGATTGGGCAGCACACGGTAGGTGAGAACATGGGCAAGATGTCCCGGGATTCCTGGTTTGAGAGCTTAGTTTCTCTGGACTAGGATTTGGGTCACCTGCTGAGAGTGAGACCATGGCCATAGGGGAGGGGGAGGGCCAGCTGAGGTGGTGTTGTCCATGGTGTCCCAGGCTGCCAGGTGCTGAGAGAGGGTTAGAGGTTGGAGCGACTCTGGCTGTGGGGAGGGGACATCAGGGCTGGGTGCTGTGGACGGGCAAGGTCTGGAAAGTCCAAGGATGTTGGCAAGTGTCATTCAAGTGTAGTCCAAGCTGGAGGGAGAATGAGCGGGGAAGGGGAAGAGGGGTGCTGGTCGAGCACAGCAGAGGAGCATGGAGAGCTGAGGAGAGGTGAGGGGACCCCTGGCAAATTCACCCCACCAACTGCGGGACACCTGCAAGGTCTCCACGNCGAGCGGGGAAGGGGGAGAGGGGTGCTGGTCGAGCACAGCAGAGGAGCATGGAGAGCTGAGGAGAGGTGAGGGGACCCCTGGCAAATTCACCCCACCAACTGCGGGACACCTGCAAGGTCTCCACGCTCACTCATTCCTAAAATGAGAGAAAAACACCTTCCTCGCCTCACCTGTGTCAAATTATATAAAGGACTTGACCCAGGAGACTGTCAGCAAGTTGAACTGGAAACCGCTGCTGCAACAGAAGTTGCTGACCCAACTTGGACCCCTGGGTGCCTGCCTGGTGCCCGGTGCCCAGAGGGCGCTGAGCAAGTGTTCCAGGAGGCAGCACACGGGAGTGGGAAGACTCGAGCTGTGCTGCCCGCTGGCCCAGTGATGAAGCTGAGCCCCATCGTCTCCCTGGCAAGTGAAGATGATGACAGAACCCCCCAGAGGCCGTAAGGATGAAATAAGGCAATGAGCATGGAGCAGACGCTGGTGGTGGCCCAGCCCTGTCCCCTCAGTGCTCATGCCCTGAAAGACACGATGGCCTGCTACTGCCAGCCTCTGCCCAAAGGTTTCCTCTGGTCCCAGGGCCATGTTCCACACGTGTGCCAACCGCAGGTGCCAAGGAGTCAGTACCCACTAACCAGAGGCAGGACTGGGGCACACAGACCCAGCTTCCTTCCTCCCTGCGGCCGCCCAGTGCCCAGCCGGACTGAAGGCTCCCACTTGCCCACAGGCAACCTGCTCATCAGCGCAGGGTCCGTCCCAGGGTCTGCTGCTGGAAATCCCAGCCCGAAAGAGTGTGTCAAGTGCGTGATGGAAGGAAGACACTTGCTAANTTGGGGGTTTCCTGCCTTGTCTCGCTTCTGCATCCCCTACCCATGCTCCCTGGGGTCCCCTTCCAACTAAATTGTGCACTGGAATCTCTGTCGCAGGGTCTGCTGCTGGAAATCCCAGCCCGAAAGAGTGTGTCAAGTGCGTGATGGAAGGAAGACACTTGCTAAGTGTCAGGCAGCGGGCTCGCTGGACGGGACANGGTCCGTCCCAGGGTCTGCTGCTGGAAATCCCAGCCCGAAAGAGTGTGTCAAGTGCGTGATGGAAGGAAGACACTTGCTAAGTGTCAGGCAGCGGGCTCGCTGGACGGGACACTCCACGCGGACAGGCAATACCCGCTGGGATACCCTCTCTCCCGGGGGTCCTGGCAGAGCACCCAATACGGTTGTGCCGAATGAATCCATATGGCGTGCTCCCTTCTGCCACCCTGTCCTTTTGGGCCCTCCCGTACCTGATCCTGCTTTCCTCGCTCCCTATCCTCTGCTTCCTTTCTGGAAGCCCCCTTTCCCTCTTCTTCCCTCCTTTCCCCTCTCACAGAGAAAGGAGGCTTTCAGCCCAAAATGCCCCTCTAATGTCCCTGAATCCCTGAAGTCAGAGCCCGCCTGTGGCATTGTGACATCACTGTGCACTAGCCAATGGCTGCCCTCCTGGGCTGGGTCCTTGGCCTTCCGGGGCCACTGCTCTTCATTGATGGGGAGAAGCGAGGCCTCCTGCAGGCCCCTAACCCTCAGGGCGGCGGCAGAGCATGGGGCCCCCCTGATTCCGCTCTCCACCTGATGTTCCTCACCGTCAAGCTCCTCCTGGGCCGGAGATGCAGCGTCAAGGTGTCGGGGCAGGAGAGCGTGGCTGCGCTGAAGAAGCTGGTGTCCGAGCGGCTGCAGGTGCCCGAGGAGCAGCAGCACCTGCTCTTCCGTGGCCAGCTTCTGGCAGATGACAAGCGTCTCTGTGACTACTGCATTGGGCCCAATGCCTCCATCAATGTCATCATTCGGCCCCTGGAGAAGACCGAGCCCCAGGAGGCCCTCCAGGCCCGGCCCCTGTGGCACCAGCTGGGCCTGGTCCTCGCCAAACACTTTGGGCCCCAGGACGCCGAGGCAGTGCTGCGGCTGGTGAGGCAGGAGCACCAGGAGGCCCTGCAGAGGATAAGCCTGGGGCACCTGGAGCAGCTGGCACGGGACTTCCTGACCGAGGAGCCACTCGTGGAGCTTGCAGGGGAGAGGGAGCCCGAGGCAGAGGCCTCAGCAACAGGAGACAAGCAGGAGGAGGGGGATAGGGAGGGGAAGGGGGAGGCTGATCGGTAAACCAGCCACCCTACTCTCTGCGTGCTCAAACTCACCCAGCTTCACCACCATCCTGAGGTTGGGGCTGGGGGAGCCCCGGCCTGTCCTGCTCCTGCTCCTGCTCCTGCTCCCAGGCCTGAGGCCTCCTGCTGGCTCTGCGAACTACGGTGCTGGGGCGATGCCATTTGCAAGGGGGATGAGCCTATTATCTCTACATTAAGGGAACTAATAGCCCATTTCCCAGGAAATCTGTGAGCCATAAAAATAAGTGGGCCGTTTTATTTCTTTTGCACAGAGAAGCTGGCATGAAGGATGGTGTGTGTGTGTGGGGGGGTGCCCTTTATTTTCTCTCGAGTTAGTGGGAGTGTCACTGCTTCTGTCCCCAAGGCGACAGGGGAGGAGGACTGTGGTCCCAAACTAGAAAAAAAGAAAGTTGTTCTGTCCTTTCGGGACTTGGCTGCTTCCCCCCACTGACCCGCCCTTCCAAGCCCCCCCTCCTGTCCCTCCCCACAAAAGCTGAGCATGAGAGAGGATGCACTAGCACTTAGAATTTAGTGAGAACTTGTTTGTCACAGCTCCTAAAAATAGTGTTGCTCAATGCTGCATTTCCCCGCCGTGGGGTGACTGGCTTTGCCCCCTACTGGGTGAACTTGGAGGTGGGGCCCTATTGGGAAGTGGGAGGCAGAGCCAACCCCATGCCCCAGCGATGGGTTCAAATCCTATTCTGCGTGGAAAGCCCCAGCTCGTGTCATGGGCTGCCCGCCATGGAGAGAGATCATTCTCTGAGCCCAGGTTCACCTTGTTCCAAAGGTAAGTTTAAACCTGTGCCAGTAAACCAGCGGGAGGCTCCCTGTTCCTGTTTCTGCTGTCACCCCTTGAGGGACGGTGGGAGTGGGGGTGACACTTTCTAAACTGCAGCCCGCAACACCTGTCTCCTACCAGGAAAGGACACACAGGTGCCTATAGGTAACAACTTTGTTCAAGTAGGAGGCATCTCAGGACAGCCACGCTCCAGGTTTCCAGCTTTGGGCTCCTGTCCTCGGAGCAATCCGGCTTCTCCTAGCTCCATCCTGTGTCACCTGAAGGCCAGCACCCCCAGTCCCCTGGTTCCTGGCAAAATAGTCTTTCTGGTTAGTGTGCTATTTCATCAGTCCTTTATTCTTCCATCACTAAACATGGCTTTTGGTCCTAATCAGTGCTAGGGACTTAGATTGGCAGATGAGGAGCTGTGCCTCCCGAGAGAGCCTGTTAGAAGTGCGCCCCCTGCTGTCCCTGGCTGCACAGTGCAGCGGAGGGGCTGGGAAAGCCCTCACTGTCCTGCCACAGCCCAGGCTTGACATGGGTGATGTGCTGTTACCTAGCGATATCACTTTGGCCCGTGGTCCTGAATGATGGGGCTGGGAATTGTTCGTTAGAATAACAATTCTTGCAGATATGGGAGAAGGGGGGGAGTTTACAATGTTCAAGGAGCTCCAGAGAGGCATAGGCCCTTCCCACATTCAGACCGAGGGGATCTTATGAAGGCCCGGACACCAGGAGGAGGTCTGTCCATCATAGCAGGTGGTGATGGCCACATATATTTTGTATGTATGAATGAAATCATTGATAATGAGTCAAGTAAAGTGTTAGGGTCAGTCCAGGAGCTGTGGGAGCACAGGTGAGGAATGGTCCCTCCAGCTGAGACTCAGGGAGGCTTCAAGGAGGTGGCATTTGAGCCAGTGAAGGATGGGAAAGGGGGGAAGTTGAAGGGCCCCTGAGGGACTTTTCTTGACACCCAGAGGTTCCCATGTCACACCTGTAGATCTGTCGCTTGGCTCAGCACACTTGGCCTCTGGACTTGCTGGGCGCCTCATGATACCCAGAGACACACCCCAGGTGCACAGCCACACACACACAGGCAGCCCCGGGTTTGCAGAAGGCAGCTTTAGGCTCTGCTCCACTCGCAGTGTCTGGTCCAGACCTTACCTTTCGGGGTTTGGGCTGACAGAGCTGAGCTGAGCCACCTGGCCCAGGCGGCTCACCCAGAAGTTCCCACGCGGTGGGTTCAAGGGTGGAAAGGAAGACAGCAGAGCCATGCCCAGAACTTTGAGGACCCAGTGCACTTTGCTATGTTCAAGTGATACCTTGTGTGGTCAGGACAGGGCTGTCTATAGGAGATGTAGGGACATGGAAAGGGACACATGGTGCCCACATTTGTGTACTGGGTGGCTGTAGGGCTTTGCAAGGGTGCCTTCTCTGTGTGAACTCTGCAAGGTGGCATGCTGGCCTTCCAAGTCCCTGTCCCAGCTTGGGTCACTCTACCTGTGCCCTGAGCCCGGCCTGGGTGGCTGCCAGCCTGTGGCAGGGGAGTGACCAGAGGGCTGGCTGCCCTGGGGGAGGGTCCTGCACCACCAGCTGCCACTCAGAGACACAGCTGGGTTGAGGACAGCTGCAGGGCGGTGCCCTCTGGAACAGATGGCGCTCCCGCAGGGCTGCCTCGTCCCCTCCTCCCCTCTTGGGTCACCTTCCTCCTTGTCCTGTCTTTATGTTTCTCTCCTGTATCTCTTCTCCACCTTTCCCTCCTGTTCTCTCTGGCCATGTTTAGGGCTGAGTTGGCCACGCTGCGTGGACTTCTGGGTGCTTCCTTTCAGCTCTTTCTCTCTCTGTTCCCAGTCCCCTTCCCTCCCATTCCCTTCACCAGTCGTGGCCCTTGTATTAAACACCACCAGCTCTTCTCCTGTCTCTCTTGTGCCCTTTTCTCGTTTTTTACCCAGGCTCACGCAGTGGGCAGGCATGCGCAGGAGGACCCAGATCCCACTACCTTTGGGTATGTCCCCATATGGCCCCACCTCCGCCCCACCTGCCACATGTGCAATACGGATCCTTAAGTACCTCCACCAGCCCAGGGCTCAGGTGCGATGCAAAATGGCCTCATCGCACGCATTCGTCTCTGCTGACAGCCTCAGGACAGACGGCACCTGGAGAAGGGCCCAGACCTCTGCACGCACAGGGTTGGCGCAGCATCCGTGCTCATGGACAGGCTGCTGGGAAGGTGGGATGGCCAGGCAGGGTCACCCGTGGCATCAGGCTGCTTCTCACAGTACTGGTCCCTCTTCCCATCCAGGCTCTGCCCAGGCCAGCCCAGCTGGCACCGGGCACCCTCATTCTCTGGGCTCAGCTGCTCAGTCCTCCTGGCCTCTCCCCGGAAGCTACTCAGCTCTGGGCTATAAATCCCCCCTGGAAAAAACTGTAACCTGAGGAGCCAGCAGGAAGCCCCAGCCCCCAGGATGGCTCCTACCTGCCTGCCCTGTGCCCCCAATGACAGCCTTTCCCATCACGGAGATTTAGGGGCTCCCCGGCAGCCTTTAGCAGCTCCCTCTGCCCTGTGGAAGGGTGATAAATCTGTGGTAACTACTGTCTGCTGGCTGCTATTAAACCGTCACAGCCACTGCAGCAGGCCGGTCTGCCTGCTGAGGCCTAGCGATCCGGCCTTGTCAGCCAGCCACCCTCAGAGAAGTCCCAGGGCACCCGCCCCTGGAAGGTTATTTATGGGCCAGAGACCCCAGGATCAAAGCTGCTGTCCATCAGAGAGGGCAGGGGGGAGCCCCCTGAGACGCCTGCTGGTCCCTCCTCTCACCCAGACAACCTCAGGCCACTACTGCCACTTAAACTTGAATGATGGTGCATTAGGGACAGTCTCGTCCTCCCAGGCTCCCCCAGCTCCCTCCCACTTTGTTTCCCTGACCAACTCCAAGTGCACTTCTCCCATTGACTCTGTGCTGGGGCGGGGGGCTTTAGTGACAGTTGGGGTACCAGAGAGGGCTCCAGCACCTGTGTGTCAGGTGCCTCTCCAGGGCCAGGCACCAGTGCTGGGGATGGGGACCTAAGAGAGGGCAACCAGATCCCTCCCCTGCCCTCATGGAGTTCAAGTCCCCATGTGGGATGTGTGGCAGGGTGAGGGCTGATGCTAGACATCAGGAAGCTGCGGTTGGAGCCGGCTTTCTGGCTGGACCCGGCTGTCCTGAGCAATCCTCGGGCTCGCAGGCTCAGGAGAAAAGCCGCTGCTCCGGTAGATGCTCCGGTAGATGCTCCGGCCTGCAGAAGAGTGGAGCACTCCGGGGGCACCAGCTGGCACCGGCGGTGGTCCCCAAGGAACCTTGTTTGGTTAAATTCCACGGTTGTGAGCCAAGCCCTCCTTCCAGCTGGGTGGGGCTGAGCCCTGATGGCTGCAGAGATGACCAAGGTGCTCTCTGCCCCGAAGGGCCCTGCAGTAGGAGACACACTGGGGCATCTGAGAGTGGAGGCAGTCTGGGCTCTCGAGAACCACGCGTCCCAGGGGTGAGGCGGGGGAGGGGCGTTGGGCCACCCTCTGGAACCCCCGTGCCCCTCAGGGCGCTGCTGCTCTCCGGAGTGGGGGGTGCTCCAGTTGTCCGGGCCCACGAATGGGGCGCTGGTGAGCCTGAGACCTCTCAGCAGGCATTCTAGAGGCTGGGGGGGCGGGGAGCTCTGAAGTCTGGGGCTCCCACCAGCCCGGGTTTCCGTCTCCCCACTCTCCCGTCTCCGGCGGGATTGCGGCTCGGTTTTCGCGGCGCCGCGTGACCCCCGGACTGTGTCTGCAGCCTCACGCTGACGTCAGTGTCCGGCTGCGCCCCGGGGATCGGCTTTGTCCATTCCCAGGCCACCAGGACCCCGCCTGTCATCCCTTCTGCCGCCTCTGGAGGCGCC